ATTACGCTCATTTTAGGCTGATACTTGGAGAATCAAAGGAGATTGACTATACAAAAGAGAAAGAAGAGAGAACATGTAATAAATCTCGAAATATGGAGAGGAAGAACAAAAAATGCACGATTGTACCCTATTCTCAAAAAAAAAATTATATGAATAGATAAAAATATTCAGCAGAAAATTATTATTTATGTTCAAGAGCCACACCATAATTAAGAGCAGAGACATCATATATACAATTTTCATATGGAATTATAAATTACTAGGAAGTAGGAACTGGCATACGGTTTACCTATGAAATTGTGAATTGATAGCTCAATAGCAAATTTGGGTCCACTCAAGTTCTCAGATTTGGCCTCTCTTTAATGCTTCAAATAGGAGAGAAGATGAACCACAAGATTATCCTCTAAATGAAAGATAATGAACTAGACTAGACTTTGTGTGATCCCAGTAGGATGTCTCTGTGTAAAGTGTAGAAAGCACACAGAAATATGGTAAGAGCTCAATACTATTCTCAGTTATTTCTGTCAAGAGTCAAAGGCAACTATAAAGCATCTCCTTGCCAATTTGAACCTCTCATTGGCATTCTTTTCTTTTACCCTCCTCCACTGTCATGAGAATTCACACTTTAAGTACACCTTGCAAATATCATCCAGATTAGCGTTATCACCAAAAACAAACTAGTTATTCTCAAGTGACAAGTATATTGAGCATTTTCTTAGGAACATTACTCGATTGCCATTGTTCATACCCTCCTTAGGTATGGTACTGTTTTTCAAAACCATGGACACATGTCTGAAGTGCCTCATAGACTTCTGAATCTTAACCTAGCTCTAAGTAACGTGAAGTTACTTGATATGGCCAGAGGTTGCAATATTGTTTATGCTAGAAACTTAATTGAGGGGATCAGAGTGGATTTAGGAGAGCTTAGTGTCCTGATTGCTCTGGATAGAAGACAAATTCTTGCACATACAAAACGTTAGAGGGTCGTAATTGCGTTCTCCAGTGGTTCTTCCGACGATCAAGTTAGTGATGATCTTAAGTGAGAGGAATATATGAAAGAAATAATTTGTAGGATTTTTGGTTGTAGAAAACAGCCTACCTCCATGCAGAAGACAATATGCATATTTATAGTGAGCCAAAAAGGGTACTTGAGTAACTTCGGCTAGGTCCATGCACTCGATTTAGTCAGCCGACACTTTACACACATCGGCAGCTAGTGGTCTGAGTCATCCTTGCGTTTAATGCAGCGATGACATAACGACTGAAGTGCTAATGTGGTCCGAGGAGTCATTATGACTTCAACGAGGATGACCATGCATTCAATATGACAGTAACTAGCTGACGTTGCTAGGGAAGACGAAGCATATAGGTTCTCTCGTGCTTCAAGATGTGTCGCCGAGTTCGAGTCGAGATGCATTTCGTCTTGGTCCTTCAAGAGAGTCTGAGTGAGGACGTCTTTCGTCTCGGTCCTTCGAGAGAGTTCGAGTGAGGATGTCTTTCGTCTTGGACCTCAAGGTGCATTAAAGAAGGGAGCCGGTGTTTGTTAGACCCGGGTCAGGTTAGTGTGATGGTGCTTAAGTTAAAATAATTGAGACACGTGTCGCCTTCTCAAAAGTAGTTTACACTTAGGGGATGTTTGTTTGCCTAAAAAAGAGGAAAATCAAAGAATAGGAAACATCTTTCTAAGAACATTTGTTTTGAGATTGTTTGGTTGGCTAAAAAAAGAAGAAAATTAAAGAATGGGAGATGAGTTGTCACATTATTATTGGATGATGTGAGTGATTTTTTAAGAAAATTTGTTTTGTGGTTGTTTGGTTGGCTAAAAAAATAAGGAAATAAATTATAAGAAACATATTTCCTGTAATAGGTTCTTTTCTTGTGTTTGGTTCATTCATAAAAATAAGAAAATAGATGAGATGAGATGAGTTATTATTATATTATTGGATGATGTGACTCACACTTAAGAAAATCGATTTCCTAGATTTTTTAAATGGAATGGGTGGAAATGAAATGTTAATGAGATGAGATGAGTTGTCACCATATTATTGAATGATGTGAGTGATTTTTAAAGATGAAATATGATGAAGATGAGATGAGTTGGATGATGTGACCTATTTCTTGTGTTTGGTTTATTTTTAGGAGATGATATGAGATGAGTTGTGGGATGAAAATAATAGTTTATTGGATGTTGTGGTGAGTTTTAGGGATGGAAATGGATGAAAATAATATTTTATTGATTTCCATGTACCATTTTCCTTTTCTTGATTTTTAGGAAACCAACCAAACCGCCCCTTAGTAAACTATGTGGTACAACTAATATCAATCTGCTAATTTAGAGTAAATCCATGATCCTGCACACGTGTTCGCACGCGCACACTCACACACACATAGATGATATTAAATGTATACTGCAACCTGTAAATGAAAAAAATAGATATATAAAATTCTGAATGACCAAATAAGTACTGCTATCTCTTGGTTGAGAAGCCATTGAGTTAAGAGTTATATTAAGAAAACTTGGCCCACTCCTTTGCTAAGCATTGTGAACATTCCTTTGAGGCACTTTGCTTGTACTAAATGTTACCAGCTTGTGGGTACCTTTCCTGTCAATGGTCATACCATAAGTATCTAATATATAGAGATCTTTCAGAATATTTATACATGGCAAGGAAAGGAAAAAGAATGTGACTGCTGATGTGAAAATCAAATGGTTAAGAAGGTACTTCATGGATATCCTGGCTGAAATGTTTCCGATAGGGAGCATCAAAGATACTTCACCAGGCTGCCCTTTAACTCTAAATATTTTTCAGAAGAGCCCTGTAACAGCGTTGGTCTTTTTTCTGGCTGCTTTTTTCTTTTCCTTTTTTTTTGGTTTGGGGTGG